TGGGTGTGAAAAACATCACCCTAGTGAAAGAAGACAGGATAACAAGAAGGATGTGTCCATGGCATGAGTCATGAGTATGAGTACTACTTGAGAGATTGAGAGATATAAAGATGCTGGCTCTAGAAAGATATTGGTTATGAGTCTGAGGGATGATGGAAATGAAATGAAGTAGGGTATGGAAAGAATTTCCATATTTCAAATCCTAAAAGGTGATGCTGTTAAAGTGCTTCACTCAAATTGCCAGCAAATTTGGAAAACTCAGCAGTGGCCACAGGGCGGGAAAAGGTCAGTTTTCATTCCAATCCCAAAGAAAGCCAATGCCAAAGAATGTTCAAACTACCGCACAATTGCATTCATCTCACATGCTAGCAAAGTAATGTTCAAAATTCTCCAAGCCAGGCTTCAACAGTACATGAACCATGAATTTCCAGATGTTCAAGCTGGATTTAGAAAAGGCAGAGGAACCAGAGATCAAATTCAACATCTGTTGGATCATCAAAAAAGCAAGAGAGTTCCAGAAAAACATCTACTTCTGTTTCATTGACTACACCAAATGGTGTGGATTTTCAAGGTATTGATGGTGTGGATCACAACAAACTGTGGAAAATTCTTCAAGAGATGGGAATACCAGACCTCCTTACCTGCCTCCTGAGAAATCTGTATGCTGGTCAAGAACCAACAGTTAGAACCAGACTTGGAACAACAGACTGGTTCCAAATTGGAAAGGAGTACATCAAGGCTGTTTATTGTTACCCTGCTTAATTAACTTATATGCAGAGTACATCATGCCAAATGCTGGGCTGGATGAAGCACAAGCTGGAATCAAGATTGCTGGGAGAAATATCAATAACCTCAGATATGCAGATGACACCACCCTTATGACAGAAAGTGAAGAAGAACTAAAGAGCCTCTTGATGAACGTGAAAGAGGAGAGTGAAAAAGTTGGCTTAAAGCTCAACATTCAGAAAATGAAGATCATGGCATCCAGTTCATCACTTCATGGCAAATAGATGGGGAAACAATGGAAACAGTGAGAGACTTTATTTTCTTGAGCTCCAAAATCACTACAGATGGTGACTGCAGCCATGAAATTAAAAGACGCTTGCTCCTTGGGAGAAAAGTTATGACCAACCTAGACAGCATATTAAAAAGCAGAGATGTTACTTTGTCAGCAAAGGTCCATCTAGTCAAAGCTATGGTTTTTCCAGTGGTCATGTATGGATGTGAGAGTTGGACCATAAAGAAAGCTGAGGGCTGAAGAATTGATGCTTTTGAACTGTGGTGTTGGAGAAGACTCTTGAGAATCCCTTGGACTGCAAGGAGATCCAACCAGTCCATCCTAAAGGAAATCAGTCCTGAATATTCATTGGAAGGACTGATGCTGAAGCTGAAACTCCAATACTTTGGCCACCTGATGCAAAGAACTGACTCTTTTGAAAAGATCCTGATGCTGGGAAAGATTGAAGGCAGGCGGAGAAGGGGATGACAGAGGATGAGATGGTTGGATGGCATCACTAACTCAATGGACATGAGTTTAAGCAAGCTCTGAAAGCTGGTGATGGACAGGGAAGCCTGGCATGGGGTCACAAAGACTCGGAAACAACTGAGTGACTGAACTGACTGACTGATAGAACTGAGAGGATGACATGGAGTAAGGCACTGTTTCAAGAATTTCTGCTAAAAATAGGTCAAAGAAATGGGGTGTTAGATCAAGCGATGGTATTTTTATGCTAGGGAGAAAGGTACCACAAGAGGAGTTAATTGCATATACCGGCCTTTACACAGGAGCAGAGACACGGAGGGAACTGGAACATATGAGCAGTGGTGCAGAATGGTGTTACAACTAGTGGAAAGAGGAAATTCTTTTTGGCTCCATCTTTTTTTTTTTTTTTTCCTATGACATATATAGCAAGATTATTGACTGAAAATGCAGGAGGTAGAATTATTAGAGCACCTGAGAAGGGTCAAGAAGGTGATAAAAGGCTATCTCAGGCAATAAAACAGAAAGAACTTATCAAGAAAATGTATTAAAAGGTTTGTTGACCAGTTTTCAGTGCCAACCTCTGAAATGTGTAGTTAGTCAAAACTACAAAGCTACCTGAGGCTGTGATGAGGAGGTGTTACCATCCAAATATTATTAATACATTCACTGGCTGAAAGCTAAGGAAGTCTGGGCACCCGAGTAAATGAATGGATGAGCAGTGAAGTCATATTCTTGGAATTTCATATTTCTGTTGACGTTTGACATTCATGCCTAAACACAGCCAGATGGGTAAATGAAATATTCTTTCCAAATCTAAAGATATTTTTTTCCTGGCTACCTCTGTACTAAAAAACTAAAAGTGTCAAACAAAACACCTTGTCTATTGCATTTTAAACTCATGTGGAGGGACATCCCTGGGTCCAGTGGTTAAGACTCCATGCCTCCAATGGAGGGGGTGCAGGTTCAATCCCTGGTCATGGAACTAAGATCCTACTTGCTGCAAGATGTGGCAGAAAAAAAAAAAAAAAAAAAAACCTGAGGTCTAAACTCATTTCAGAACTCAGTAAAGTAAAATGAGTTTTTACTTCAGCGGTTACAAGGACCTTTAGTGTTAACATATACGTAAACATGAAATTTGAGGTTACGGCTCTCTCTCCTCCTACTTTCAACATATACTAGGTGAAAACTAACAGATTACTGGACAGCTATAGCAGTTGCAGGGGTGGAAGCAGCAAGATTGAATTAATAACTAGATAAATGCCAACAAAGACTCAGGCAAGACCACTTGTACTAATTGTCAGCGAAACATAAACTAACATGATCACTTTGATATTCGAACAAAAGAATATAACTTCTAAAAACATGATGAACTCCAAATATTGATACTTTTCACGGACTGTATTATAACATAATACCTTATTGCAAAGATTCTGTTATGCCAGGAGATGAAAGAAACACAGTTAAAGCACAGGTCACCAAGTCTAGGATGACCACATGAAAAACTAGCTAAATAAAAAAGCTTGAAAGAAACTTTAATGGCGATTAGACATGCAAAACATACAGGCACCAAACAAAGAGAGGCTGTAGAGGCTGTTACATAAACCAAGGAAATTAATACAATAAAGAGAAAAGAATTGTGCATATACAAGGTGAACAAACACTTCCAGATAAAGAAAAAGAAGTACATTAGGATTTTAACTGTAATGTCAAAGTTGAGGAAAGTTTGAACAAAGAATTAAATAGATGCCAGTACAATATTTACTTAATATTCTCCTGCTATTTTCCAACAGAAACATTTTAAAGTACATTTACAAGACTCAACCCCAAAAGTATACGAGCTAAGTAAGGAGATACATAGAGTCACTAAAAAGAGCTGGTCAAACTAAAATGAAACTCTGCTATAAATCATATTAAAGTTAAATGACATTTCAATGAATTATTAAAATGCTTTTGTTAAATAAAATATTGTCACAAGGGCAAGAAGAGGGCATGAAAAAATTTGGTTTTTCCCTAGAGGTATATTTTACAATGATATTTATTCTGACAGAAGTTGATTATACACATTTCAACAACTGAATGAATGTGCGCATTTTGAGAACATATCAACTGTCTCAGAGAAAAAGAAAAAGACCATAACCCAAAAGGTCAAGAAAGAACCTAAACCAAAAGGGTAATAAATGATGGGGAGGCTGTGGAGAAAAGTGAACCCTCCTACACCCTCCTAATAGTGGGAATGTAAATTTGGGCACCCACTATGGAAAACAGTATGAAGCTTCCTTAAAATAAATTAAAAATCAAGCTACCATTTGATGTAGCAATCCTGCTCCTAGGCATATGTCTGGAAAAGATAAAACCTAATTTAAAAAGATACATGTACCCTCATTTTCACAGTATCACTATTTACCATACCCAAGACATGGAAGCAACCTAAGTGGTTCATGGATAGACGAATGGATAAAGAAGATGTGATTCATACGTACAGTAAAATACTACTCAGCCATAAAAAAGAATGAAATAATGCAATTTCCAGCAACATGGATGGACCTATAGAGTATCATACTAAGTAGAAATACAAATGCTATACATCATACATACATATATATTCAATATGTGGAATCTAAAAACCAATACAACTGAACCTATATACAAAACAGAAATGACTCACAGATACAGAAAACAGTTACAGTTACCAAAAGGGAAGGAATGGGGGAGAAATAAAGGAGTTTGGGATTAGCAGATACAAACTACTATATATAAAATAGATAAGCAACAAAGATTGCAACAAAGCAACAAAGTCTCCACAGGGAGGTATGTTCAATATCTTGTAATAAGTAATAATTGAAAATAATCTGAAAAAATACATATCATTGAATCACTTTGGTATAACCTGAAACTAACACAATACTGTAAATCAACTATACTTCAATTTTTTAAAAAGTCTGACATTATCGAGTGTTGTATATAATACCTATGGACCTCTGAGAATTCTTACACTCTCTTTTTTTTTTAAAGAATACTTATTTATTTGGCTGTACAGGGTCTCAGTTGCAGCATGTGGGATCTAGTTCTCTGACCAGGGATCAAATCTGGGCCCCCCTGTATTGGGGGCATGGAATCTTGGCCACTGTACCACCAGAGGGAAGTCCCCTTTTATACTCTCTTGATGGGAGTATAATCTGGTACAACAGATCTTAGAACAATTTGGCACCATCTAGCAAAGTTGAACATGGGTGAATTCTATGACCCAACAATACCACTCTTGGGTGGCTATCCTAGAAAAATCCTAGGCAAGGAACTGCAAGAATGTTCATAGTAGCACCAGATTTTGATTGTGGCTATGTATATGGAAGAAAGAAGAGATACGGGTTTAATAAGAGATACAAACAGTGAACTTCAACTGATCTGCAGTGTTTTATTTCTTAAGCTGGAGCTGGGTATATAGTCATCCCTTATGCTATTATCTACACTTTTTGGTTTGTCTGAATTTTTTTTCATAAAAGTTAAAAAAAATACTTACCAAGCTATCCACATCTATGCTAGAGTTTACAGCCCACTGCAATGTACCCATGATATTCATGGCTAAAGTTAGAATAATCCCAACTCTTCCTTCTCCTTCACCTATAGGTGGAAAATATATATAAACAAACTTTAGGATATATATCTTTTCTGTGAACTGCTTTATGCATACCTAGAAGATAGCATATGTTAAAGTTACATTTAGATTCTGTGCCAATTTAAACCATTTTTCACCTCAGTTCCCCACAGCATGCATCACTAGTGATAATATGCCCTGTTAGTATTCAACCAACATTTTAAATCAAAGAATGACTGCATATTAGTAAAGAGTTGCCCTTTTTTTAAATGCTTCAGATATTAAATGGGATGTTGGTATTGGGTAATGTAATTTTTATCTCTTCTACTATTACTCCATAAGTAATAATATCTTCAAAGACTACAATGGACAATGGAAAGACTTTCTGTGTCTGAATACGCTTCTCTACAAAGAAGTCAAAAGCAGGAGACAGGTGTGTGAGCAGCATTCAGAAGATGTTTAGATGTGCTTCATGTCTTTGTAAGGAGGACTTTTCTCTGTCAATCAGATGTTGTTGGGAAGAAAGAACTTAGAGTTTCATGGAGAAGTCAGAACTCATGGGTCTGCCATTTGGAAAAAGAGAAGACTGCCCGTTGAGTTAAAAAATTGATTAGTTCCGATAGGAAGAACAATACTCAAATGTTTAATTAGAGTAGTTAGTTTCTAAGGGCTAGAGAAGTAAAAATGAAGTCGCTCAGTCGTGTCCGACTCTTTGCAACCCCATGGACTGTAGCCTACCAGGCTCCTCGGTCCATGGGATTTTCCAGGCAAGAATACTGGAGTAGGTTGCCATTTCCTTCTCCAGGGGATCTTCCCGACCCACGGATCAAACCCAGGTCTCCCGCGTTGTAGGCAGACGCTTTACCGTCTGAGCTACCAGGAAAGCCCTTTAAGGGCTAGAAGGGACCACTAATTAAAATTTACAAATACTCTGTATTCATGGCCCTAAAGTTTTTCTAATAAGAATGTCCTTAAATTGTTATAAATTTATGTTATCTTAATTGAGAGTCAAGCCCTGCAGCTGTAATGCATGATAAAACAATTTTAGGGCTCTAAAATTGGGAGAAACAAGTCATCCTATTATTATGAATTGAAATTTTTGCTTCCATAATTATTCTAATAGAAGACAAACCACAGACAGCAGGTATGTGGTTTTAATACTAAATCACTTATTTTAAACAGGTAAAATTTATCCAGGGCCCAATACATTAGTCATTCTGAATATTAAGATGAGAGTAAGATAAAATTTTAAAAATAATAACAATAATAAGTAACATAAGATTTTTGGGTACCTACTATGGACCAGGCACTACACTAAGTGCTTTGCACAAATTATCACATTTAATACTCACCACAAACTTATGAAATAGGCACTATTGTGTTTATTTACACATGAGGAAAAGGAGGGCTTTAGAGTAGCCGACTAAAGTGTACAAGTGACCACAGCTGAAGACCCCAGAGGCAGGGTTGATACTAGCTGTGTGGCTGACATCACTCTGGCTGGGCATCTGATTTCATTGATAGGTCCTGGGCGATACTGATTCTTGAATGCTCTATCATGCCTAATAAGCCAGGATTCAATCAGATCCTTAATCATTACATTATAGTACATGATATATTGGTGTGATTTCACTGTTAACAAATCCTTGTTCATTCAGCCCTCTCGGATCCTGTTTCAAATAACTTAATTAAAGAAACAATTGTTTAATTATGAACCACAAAAGAAACTTTATTTTGTTTTAAGGTTGCCCCAAACTATTGTACTGCTAAGGATTTACTCCATTTGCCTGCCGCCTTGAATTCCTTTTGCAGAGTCAATTCCCAAAGCCTTGGGCTGAGAGAACAGTGAAGGTGAGGAATCCACTACTCTCTCAGCACCCGTGGGACTGCAGGTGGACCTCGGAGCCAATATGGGCCTGTTTGCTGTTCTTGTCAATACTTGGTAACTGGACAGAGGAACTCAACTGTTCACTCAAGGGCCCTGACTGGAAAGGCCATACTAGGTCACTGTTGCACAGCTCTGGGACATTAACCAAACCAGTCTTTAGAGAAAGAGAAATGAATAAAGTGGCCACAGAAAGGAATGGACGTGGCCAGCATCTGGCCTCCAGAGATGGGAAGTTCTGAGTATGACTCTGCACGACTGGTCCATTTCCCGTGGAGGTGCAGTGTGCCTTCTGCCCACGAGGCCCTCCTGTAACTCTCCAACATTTGCTTCATTTTGTTTGAACAGAATTCTGTTCTTATAACCAACCAACCCATCAAATTTGGCAGTCCCTCGGAATCTTCATTCACTGTAACATATATATCTCAATACTTCTTATGCTCAGTAATTCAACTTTTTTCATTAGAAGAGCTCACTTGTCTATACAGGTTTTCATTTTACTTGTGATGAAATATATATATCTCAGTTTTTCAACTGCAGCTCTAATTCACAGAAATCATTCATTCAACAATAAACAAATTTTTGATGAATAAACTAAAAAAATCTATTTAATGATACCTAAAAATTTTAACTTACATGAACGCAGCATTTTACTGGCTGACAAAGCTTTAAATTAAATGCTTAGCTAAACAGTTAAGGAGTTCACAGTACCTGTTGTTAAAATGGAAATGAAGGTAACAGCAATGAAGAAGATGACAAAAATCATTTCTATTCTCATTTGGAACCAGCGCAGTGTTGACAGATACAAGAACCAGTTGGCAGTATGTAAATTCAGAGCTTTGTGGAATAAAGTTTCAAAGTAAGGCTGCCGTCCAAAGGCACGAAGTGTCCATAGTCCTTTTAAGCTTGTAACAAGATGAGTGAAAATTGGACTCCTGCCTGTGAAATATTTCCATAGAGAACAATGCAAGTCATGTAAATACATAATGCAAATTCTTACTTTAGAAAGGGTAACTTAAAGAGTAATCAAACAACTAATCAAACAATGGACGTCATTGGATAGAAAGGCTTTTCATTGTGACACAAACTTTGAATAGATGCAATCTGTAATTTTTTTTAATGAGTTACCCTCCTTTTTAACTTGGTTACCATGGATGGAAACTTATTATAAAATCATTGCCATTATTAATTCATATGCCTTGGCTACCACTGGGTATTGTTTATCTGACTAATCCTAAATTAATCACTACTGAAAATGTTTCTCTTTTGAGACAATTCATTCAATGCCTCAATTAAGAAAGTCTGTGTGACTTAATTTAGCAAATAACCTTCAATGTAGAAGAACACTGGAAATATATCCCCTGAAAACACATCTAAACAAAGGCTGTTATTGAACAATGTGCTTTCCAAAGAGCTCAAGCAGTGTTTGGGGGCACACCAAAAAGCAGACTCCTGGAGAGAAAGGAAAGGTGTCTGAAAAGAACTTTGTCCAGTCTCACTTAGGAACACAGACAAACCTTTAGAAATAGTGGCACTATCATTTCAAATTTTAATTCATATAATTAAGAACAGATATCATATACACCAAGCCTCCTAAGACTCTATATACTTGTTTTAAAATCAAAATGAAGTCACAGTCATTAATTCATAAAAATAATCTATATGTGTTTTATAACTTATTGTTTCCTTTCCTATACTTAAATATTTTTGCAGAGTTTATGGTTTAACACTACATTTTAAATCTGAAGGAAGGCAATGGTCAAATTCTCAAAAATAATATTTAATAATACTTTTGTTAAAATTTTGTTGTTTATTAATAAATTTGATATTTCTTAATTAATATGTAAAATTTGTTACTTGTTATAATAAAAATTATTAACAAAATATAAGACCCAGGAGAGGTATATATGATGAGAATGTATAGAAATGGCCCTTAATCAAAGTTGAAATATACTTAGACATTTTTAAAACTCATTGTCATATCATGCAAGAGTTTAAAAACAGGAAAAACATTTTGAAAAAGTAGATGAATTGCAGATAAATATCCACAGGTAGCTCTTGTGGGCATGTCACAAGCTGTACCATACCTTCAGATTCCAGCTGCTTGAGTTGCTGAGAGGTGTGGAGGAAGTAGGCTCTCAAGAGAATAAAAGCCGCTATCACTGGCACTGTAGCTAAGAAGATGTAGGGTTGTAAAACTGAGACGACCACCACAGCTCCAATCACAATTAATAACAACTGTAGGATCAAAGAAAACACAGTGATAAGTAAATATTTCCATGTTGCAAAGTAGACAAGGTATGTTACCAATGTTTTCTAAACAAGGTTTTCACACTCTGTTCCATTTTAAATACAGGGCAGGTATCTTCCTACTGGGAAGGTGGTCACATTAAAGCACATTTTTCATAAGACCAAAATTCCACAAATGGCTTAGGTTGCTCATAATAACATTTTGAAGTTTAGAAAACATGGTATTCTTGTATCTTAGTCTATTTCCACTTCCTATACTCTTTAAAGTGTTGTATGAAAAATTTTAAATGAATGTAATTTTTTCTAGCCTGGGCTTCTTTTAAAATAAACTTTTGATTTTAAAATAATTTTAGTATGAATGGTCATCTAGGTAAGCTACTTGATTTCTCTGAATCTAGATGATTAACATTTAAGATTGAAAAAAAAATTATACTTGAATTTTACTGCCCTTTCTGTTTTTGTTCTTTGCCTATAAAACAACTGAAGATGACCTTGATCAGGAAAAAAAAAAAGGAAGATTTTGGGGGTAGGGCTGATTTAATTTGAAATCAGACCTTTTTTTTCTCTTATGTGTTATCAAATGAATTTTGTGTTTAAGTCAAGCCCACTCATTAGAGATAGTTCTTCACATTATCCACCCCAAAAGTGAAGCCATGTGGGCAGTCTCAGAAACAAGGTGATTATACTGATGTTCCTCAGATCAAGTTAAAGGCTTAAATTCTATATTCCCAAGTGACACAAAATTCATATGTATAAAAAAGTAAAAAAAAAAAAAAAATCTGCCAGCATTTGCTCCATAATAATCCATGTGAATAAAGTATAAATAAAGTAGCTGTCACAACAAGTTTTGAAAAATAAACCTATCATAATATCTATCTGATAATCAGCAATCCAGTTCTCTACCAGTGGCCATGAGTGACACATACACTTTCCAACTGATGCAGAAATACAGAACATTTTGGCAGATGGAAACATGAATGAGGATGTAACATCTGCATAAATCTTCTTTGAATGGGTTGCTATTTTCATCTAAAGCTTAAGATGATCATATCTCAACGATATGTGTAGTAGAGAAAATGCCTCTAATGTGTCCATCATCAAATTCTACACATACCAGCCCTTCACTCATTTTTGTTCAAGAAATACTCAGAAAAATCTTTGCTGTACCAGGCCCTGGACTAACTACATATGACGACAATAATTTAAGGAAAGTAAAAGTGAAAATCACTCAGTCATGTCTGACTCTTTGTGACCCCATGGACTAAACAGTCCATGGAATTCTTCAGGCCAGAATACAGGAGTGGGTAGCCTTTCCCTTCTCCAGGGGATCTTCCCAGCCCAGGGATCGAACTGTGGTCTCCTGCATTGCAGGCAGATTATTTACCAACTGAGCTATCAGGGAAGCCAATTTAAGGAAAGTCCTCTCTATTCTGCTCTTGCCCTACAAGAGCCGCCAGTACAATGAGAAAGCCTCAACCACCCTAGTTACTACATGACAAGACTTCATCAACGCAAAGGACTCAGTTTTTTAACTGAGAATACTCATTTCTCATAAAGAGAGTCTTACGGGAAAAAAACAGAAAAATTAACTTCCAAGCATTATTAACTAAGAACTACAATTTAAATGGGCCATTTTATTAAACACCAATGTGTATGAAAGATAAATACTGTTGCATTTACAGCACAGAAACATTTAGCTATTTCACTAGAATCAGGGTTTGTTCATCTGTTTACTGTTGACAATTATAAAGGGCACTATGTTCATTTGTCTTCTGCTATTTTTATCATATAATTCCAATCTGGAGCTTTTGTATTATAACAATGGGTGGGGAAAGTGATCATTGTTTTTTTAATTATTGCTGATATGGTTGATATTCTTAGGAATGAAATTGTAACTGTGTTACAATAAAAAAGGAAGAATTGTGTAGCTGACCCAACCAATACAACAGAAGGTCTGAGAATAATGGATAAGGTGGGACAACTGGAAGTGATGAAATAGTCACAAGGTAGACTTCCAGTGATTATAATCATTCGTAATAAAGCCCTATCTGAGAGGTGAAAAACTAAGTCTAAGCTTTGAGGAAAACAACTCAGTCTGCTCTGTAAGGAGTCATCTTTAGGCACTGAGGTCAGAAGGTAATAATTTAGCACTTATGCAAAACTAAAGGCTCTACTTTTATATGCTTGGTATTCTAATTACACAAAGAAACTTTAAATTCTGTCCTAGCTTTTAATTCATAGTGAATAAGAAACAAGTCACATCAGACCAGGTGTATTAAAGAGAGGACAGCAAAATAAACAAATAGACTTAAATACAAGATGGAAATATGAGTACAGATCTTAATTCCCATTCAAGCTTATCAAAGTCCTAAAATTCTAGGGGAAAAAATATCAACAGACTATAAAACCTGCAAGGCACCATTTTCATCCACCAAAAACAGCTTCCAAGTATTCCTGACACAGAAGGGAACATAGTGTTGCCTGTGTAATTGGAGCAGATGATAAGAATGATCATTTTGAAATAATTTAGAAGGTGCATTAACTGACTAATTGATAAATATCTATTTAAAACCATGCATTGAAGACCAGATCTGCAATTTAGTTCATAACTGACAGCCCTTGAGAATTTTTAAGTAACAGATTAATGGAATTAATAGAATGAATAGGGGGGCGGGGTAAGATGTAAAAGACAGCAGAGATCAAAGTAGAAGGGCTCACTGTATTAAGACAGAGGAAATTAAAAAACCTAAAGGTTTTGAGGTTGAAAAGAGAAGATTTGCACATTTTAAGATGTGCAGGCTTCTGTTTCATGAAAAAAAATTTGGCACTCAAACACAGAGATGAATTCTGTGTGTGCTCAGTCGTATCCACCTCTTTGTGACCCCGTGGACTGGAGCCTGCCAGGCTCCTCTGTCCATGGGGATTCTCCAGGCAAGAATACTGTGGGAGTGGGTTGCCATGCCCTCCTCCAGGGAACCTTCCCAACCCAGGGATCAAACACATGTTTCCTGCATTGCAAGTGAATTCTTTACCCACTGAGCCACCTGGGAAGCTCATAGAGATAAGCAGGATGCTAGGATAGATTTTTCTCTTTGTGGCTTCAAGTTCAAATTTGTCACATTATGGTCCACTTCCAGTGTGACAGTCTGAAGCATATGACTTTAGTACTGAAAGTGATCATCATCAGACATCTTCCTCATTTTAGAAACATGATATCCTTAGAGATTAAGTGTCTTACTTAAGGTAAAATAAATAGTGCTATTTGCAAAACAGAATCTGGATCTTTCATTTTCACTATACAGTATCCAAGCCAGAATATTATCAAATGTTAAGAACTAGAGTTAATATAAATTATACTTTTTTGAAAAAAGAAATTCATAGGTATGCCTTATTCTGTGAAAAACCTGTTTCTGAAATGTGACTAGAAAGGAAGTTCATTAACCTGAACATAAGTGTAACCAACAGTGCTCACAATTTAAAGGACCTCTCTAATGCATGCATTTTTTAATAAAATCAAAATTAATCAGATTTTTATTTTATTTGATTGCTGTATCATGCTTCCATAATGTGAGACCCTCTTCTAAACAAAATAGGGAAATCAACATAAAGGAACCCTGCCCAATCACTTATGAGGCAACGACTAGTGAACCCCAAAACACTAGAAGTTGAGCAGAAACTATTCAAATTGTTGTAAGAGAAAGGATGAGACCATCACATGTGTCAAAAAGTGCTAATTCATAAAATACATGTTCAAAAAGAAACTCTCCCAAAGGATTTCTTTTTTTTTCCAAAAGATTTCTTAAATGAATCTTACACTGATTCAGAAAATACTCAGCAGGCTACAAAAGTTTTTAAAGAAAAAATTAGCAAGGGCTAACATTCACGAGTCCTTTTGCAATCATGTCAAGATGTCCACATTCTATTTTTTAACTGACTTAATATTATATTTCAGTCTGGTTGTTTATAAGCATAGAACAAGGAAGAAATGTCCAGAAATTAAAGACATGGGCAATGCTTCTTTACATGATGAACTCAAAGCATTTTTTAATGAATTCCAGCAGCAGCTGCTGAGTTATATCCCTAAACATAGTAACTGAAGGAAACTCAAAATACTAAAGTTCACTTGGAATGGTTAACGTGTTTGGCTGTGCCAATCATTTCAGATGAGGCAAACTGGCAATCTGGTCTTTGTGAACCTGCCAACATCATTGTGTATACACACAAAAGTGGCAACCTTTATTTTATTTCATAGGTTCTCAGTGGTGGGAGTGGGAGGAGGGATGGGGGATGAGGAGAAAGGGGCAAGTCATCCCGAGATGGGCAGCATCCTGTTCCAACTGTCTCCAAGGAGGTCATTGAGACTGCATTGTTGTTTACTCCCTGAGGCTCAACCCAAGTCAGCCAGGAATCTGCTTTCAAACCTGGTTCAATAGCCAAGGTTATTAACTCACAACACTCAAGTTCTATCACTTAATGGAATCCTAGCAAGGTTACCCCTAGGTCACCTTCACCTTCTTCCCTGCTCCATTTCACCATCAATCTCCCCACCCCAGGACACATGCTTGAGTCAGCCTGCCCTGAAGATGCCTTCAGATCTATAACCCAGGGATAATCCTCACTAATCCTGAATTTTTCCTTCCTCTCTCACCTGCCTGAAAACTTACCTATACTTCTGTCCCAGCATTATGGTCCTTACTGCGAGACTGCTAACTAGCCACCTGTGCCAAAGTTGTTCATGGATGAGATTGGGTGAAACTATAGTCCACCAGGAAACCAACTGATCGTCATTGTAATCCGGGCCGTCTGAATGTAGGTGACTTTTATCAAAGGTGATGCCAATGTCAAAAACGTCACACTTCATGGACAGTGATTGGGGGGAAAGTGGTCTGTTATAAGACTTAACACTTCTAAGTAGAGAGCTATTGTATCTAAATGAGGAATTGCCTTAGGTTCTGGTCAAGTAAGGGCTTCCCAGGTGGCACTAGAGGTAAAGAACACACCTACCAATGCAGGACATAAGAGACTTGGATTCAGTCCCTGGGTTGGGAAGATCTCCTGGAGGAGGGCATGGCAACCCACTCCAGTGTTCTTGCCTGGGGAACCCCATGGACAGAGAAGCCTGGTGGGCTACAGGCCGTGGGGTTGGAAAGAGTTGGACATGACTGAAGCAACTTAGCACAACAGAACACACTGGTCAGGTAAACAGTTTTGACTTATGTTGAATTTACTAAATTTATGACTATCTTGAAGATTTTTTTTTAATATTGAAAAGATTCATATACTAGACACGGTTCAAACTCTTAACCAAATGAAAAATAAGCAAGAATTAATTTACTCTTAATAACTTTTCTAAATACTTTTAAAAAGTGCAACAAAGTGAAGTCACTTAATAATACTTATTTTTACAAACCTGAACAAAGTCAAATATGGTAAGAGGCAGAAGATCATCCAAAACTGCTATATCTTTGGAGAATCTATTAAGGATCCCACCTGCAAGGTAAAGAAAAATTCTTCAAAAATTAATAATCTTAAAAAGATACATCAAAATTTGATAAATTTGGATCATAGCAGAAGCATTCAAAACTCAAATACAAATGAACATATAATCAGATATATAAGGTTTTCAGTGTTGTAGCCTTATATATAAGGCTATATAAGACAATTTCAGTGTTGTACAAGGATTCTCTGATGCTGGGAAAGAGTGAGGACAGGAGGAGGCAACAGAGGGTGAGAAAATGGTTGGATGGTAACACCGACTCAATGGACATGAGTTTGTGCAAACTCTGGGGGACAGTGAAGGACAGGGGAGCCTGGTGCACTGCTCCATGGAGTCACAAAAAGTCAGACGTGATTTAGTGATGGAATGACAATAAACAACAAGGATTCGAAGAAACTTGTTGTACAAAGATTCTAAATAACTCTGTGTTCAAGAAATACAGATTGCTGTAAGACTTTATGAATATATAGAATATCTTATGAAATTTTGAAATATAGATTGCTGCAAGATTCACACGAAGCCCAACGTCTCTAACAGAGCCCGATCACAAATTACGTCAGGAAGAGGCAGGCTTCTATCACCGTAATCTCACACTTACAAGCCTGAGTTTTGTATTTTTCTGGCTATGCTCTCATCATTCCCTTATTTCGTAATGTAGAGCCTCCCTAATTTTCAACTTCCACACCTTTCTGACACACCTCAGCACAACCTGTGGCTGTTCTCAAACCCTCCCTGCCCACCATGTGGCCCTCTTTGGCCATGTTCTCCTTTTCTACCATCTTCACTGACATTTAACTTCCGCCTGTCTTCTAAATTACAGACTCACATTGTAAGACTGATCATTTTTTCCTTCAATGAAAGAAATGTCGCACATGGAGTGTCTACGGGGCACTGGGCACAATGCCAGGCACAGAGACAACAGACATGGATCAGCCATGCTCCTGGCCCTTACGGAATTCATTGCCTCGGGGTGAGTTAGACATACAATTAAAGTGTAACATAGAAGGGAAGTGAAGTTGCTCAGTCGTGTCCGACTCCTTGCGACCCCATGGACTGTAGCCTACCAGGCTCCTCCGTCCATGGGACTTCCCAGGCAAGATACTGGAGTGGGTTGCCATTTCCTTCTCCAGGGGATCTTCCCGACCCAGGGTTCAAACCCAGGTCTCCTGCATTGCAGGCAGACGCTTTAACCTCTGAGCCACCAGGGAAGCCCAATAATACTGTACAAATTGTTTTTGATAAGATTGAATCTTATCATTTACCCTCCCCCATGAACTGCAGGATAAAGTTGTAATTTCTTAGTTTAATACTTAATAACTTCCATGATTTTGACCTTAAGCCACCCGAGAAACAAGCTTCCTCTTTTCAAACATTCTGTTTCAATCAATCTGGTTTATTCTTTAAATATACTTTACTCTCTCCTATTTCTTCACACTTCCCATGTGGTTCCCTCTGCCTGAAAACCCTTTCCCCTCATCTCTACTTGCTAAAAAATATTGTCTCCTTCCTGGTCCAATTCAAATGCCTCTCTGGCAAGGATACGTCAATGTTTGCACCAGTTCAAATTAATCCCTTCCTCCTCTGGGTACACTGAGTACCTCTGAAATATCTTGTCAGCACTTCCCTGTTATAATAATTATATACATGTTGTATAGTTATTTGTATACATGTCTTATGTCTTTTTTCTAGATTGTAAACTTCTAGAGGTCACTTGGACCATGTCATATTTATTTTGTGTCAATCTGAGCCCTTAGCAAAAAGCTTTATGTAGGAATTATCCAATGCTTATTTTTTGTCACTATCTCCTAGTCCTTACTAATGATACATTATTTAGCATATTTAATTAATCATATTTGTATACCTTTTCATAAATAAATACAAAATTGTGGGGGGAGTAGCCTATGGTATTTATTTTGTGTAGAAAATGAAAGTCACTTTGGTAAAAAAAAGAAAAAAAAACATCATTCTGGTGCTTAGTATATTTCAGATGGGAAACAGTAGAAAGGGAATAAGAGTGGGTAATTGGCATTGACCTGATGTGGGCTATGTAACAGCCAGTAGGTGATGACCTTATTTCATTTCACAATGGTCTTTTGAGATAAGTATTCCTTTTCTCATTTTACAGATGTGGATCCAAGTCTCAGAAGAGTAACTTGCCCATGATCATCACTCTTAAGAGGACAAGACAGACCTCAAACAATGCCCATGCTCCTTCCATTATATCTCATTGCCTGTTTCTCACTGCTAGAGTCTTGGGTAAAACCCCTAACTTCTCTGAAGCTCAGCTCTCCCACTGAAAAAAAATGAAATCACTGGATGAAGGTAATTGGACATTCCCTTTCAAGTCTAAAACGTCTTAGCTCTAAAATGGAAGCATGGTGATGAATATATCCAAATGAGGCAAGACTTCAGTGACACACGAGGGCTTCAGAATAAATATAAGGAAGATCCTCTTGAATATTAACACTGAAATGTTATTACCCAGAAAAAAAAAATGATGGTTAATTCTTATCTTGAGATTTTTAGATACAAATCACTCTAAAACTCTCAGGCTTGGAATTTATTTTTTCCTTTATAATCAAATATTCCAGTTCTTATCAATTATGGTCACCACATTATACATTAGATCTTCAGACCTTACTGATCTTATAACTAAAAATGGTACTCCTTTACCAACCTCTATGATAGTGTAAAAAGTACTTTCAAAGTATATCTGGGATACCCCCACCCATTTAAAATAAAATTTGGAATGAATTTATGGGATTATCTTTGAATAGTCATATGAAACTAAATTACTCTATTTCATCAAAATATCTCATTAATAAAAGAATTTTGCTTTTTGGATCTCTTCAAATCACCTCCCCTTTTAAACAGCACTATACATTGACAACAAGATGCCTAGAAGGGAGCTAGCTCAAATATCTGAATAGAAAAGGATATTTGACACAGAAGGGCCTGCTTCTGCTGCTATAGACCCATCAGCATCATGTCCTAACAAACTGCACTACTCTAATAAACAGAAATATGAAGAGTGACAGTACCTGAGAGCCTATAATACCAGAGACAAGTCCACACCCAACATAAGGAAGCTCAACAAAGGGTAAATGCCTCCATGCAAAAGCCAATGTTATCACTACAAAATCAACCAACTTATGCCCCTCTTTGTGGAGGAGCAGCAGTTTCATTTTGTACATCTAGTTAAGTACCTGTTTTCAACGTGTTGAGGGTTGACATAGGGGCTTGAAGAACAGACTGTAGCATTTTGTGGTGTAAAGTTTTTGACACTGTGATTAGAGTATGCACCAGTGGTAAACCTCTGAAGAGTCCTAGAGCAAGCAAAGTGTCAGCTACTCCCACATAAATGTAAAAAATATAATACGAGCTGGTGCTGGTGATGATCACTGCATAACTGTTATTTGCACTCTTAGTACTATTCCCTTTGTCTTGAAAAAGTATTCTGTAAAGCAAAAGGAAATTATTATTTGACAATCAAACTTGTCCAATGAATTACCAATACATGTAAATGATGCTGAATTTGAGTCTAAAGCAATACAACATATGTCATTAGCAGAGTTTATGCCTTTAACCTGAAGGACTTACTATTGCAAGAAAACAGACTAAGCTTTCCACCACTGAAAAAGATAAAATTTCAAATACTCAGAGAAAATATTAACTGTCCAAGGTTGTCTTAAACATTGTTACTGCCTTTTATAGAAACTAAACACGACTAGATCTTTTAAAAATTGATAATGAGCTACAAAAACTGCACACACAATTTTAAACAAAAGAACTCAATTCTCTACTACATTACTGTGGGGAAATGAAGCAGAGTGGAAATTACAAGGTTTAATAAAACACAAATAATCAATAGAAACAAAATACAATCCACAATAGGACGTGGAATACTCACTTTGGAAATAGGCACAACACAACCAAAGAAGCAGCCACCTGGAAGGGAACAGCACACACTTGACTTTTTTCCATCATCTTTTCCCATTCTTCCCACACCCACCTCTAATTCCATCATGACCAATATCAAAATACACACAATTTCATTTTCCTTGGCTTTACTTTCCTGGGTCCAGCAGCTGCAATAATTGTTCTAGGAACCACTATTTGAGGTGAGAACATATTAAGCTAATGGAATTCAAATTTCACTGAATAAAATACTTATTCATTTCTCTCCTTCATTCAACAGGAACTATTCACTGAACTTCACAGAAGAGCTAACACTGCAGTTAAATGTTTTAAGTAATAAAGTCTGTTTTTTATGAAGAGATTACTCTCAGCCTGCTGGCAGATAACTGATCTCGTTGGTGGCTATAAATAATTTCATTTGTCATACAATGATTATGAGGGACTCATAACTATAAGGCCAATTAGTTATGAGAAAGGATGAGATATTCAGGAAACTCAGTTAACATTTCATAAGTGCAAAAATTCACAGTTTTTTTTAATAAAGATAACGTGCATTCACATTAAAACATATACTCCTGGTACTATGTGGGATTTCTCATGGTGGAAATTTTTGGCTGAGGAACAAATATTCTATACCATACTAAAAAAAAATTAACAACTATGATTTGTTTTTAGTTTCCATTATATTTAAATTATCTGAACTCTGTTCTATTTCAATTTGGCATTCTAATTTCCTAAACACTGTGGGGAAACCATCTTGTGATGATACCAACACAATCATAACACTAGAAATATTTACACAATTATAAGACTGACATTTTGCAATTAGGCCAATAATAACTTTAACAAAGAATCAAATAGAAAAATAGGAGAAACTGTAAGCAAAATTAAAAAATTTGAAAATGAACACAGACCAAAAATAAATAGGGGAGAAACAAATATGCTTGCCATAAGAAATCTATGTATTATTTCATAATCAACTTAAACATTTAACAGTACCACACAAAAATTATGGAGAATAGTTAGCAGTAATTAAGAAAGTACATTGTAAAGTCTTATAGTTTAAATAGTATATAGTGGTGGTTTAGTCATTAAGTCGTATCCGACTCTTTGCAACCCCATGAACAGTAGCCTGCCAGGCTCCTCTGTCCATGGGATTCTCCAGGCAAGAAGAAGTGGAGTGGGTTGTCATTTCCTTCTCCAGGAGATCTTCCAGACCCACTAAACCCATGTCTCCTGCATTGCAGGTAGATTCTTTACTGACTGAGCTACGAGAGAAGCCTCATTTCAGGTAAATTTGCCTATCAGATTGGAGTATCATAATGAAAAGCTAATGGCATCATTCACAATTTCCTACCTTTTTTTATTACACATGGCCTCCATACACCTATTGACAAAAAGTACCTTTGTCTCCTTGAAATTCAAGTGAATTCAAAATGACAAGAAACTGAGCAATAATCTTGCTACTTCAAAAGTCTCTGTTACAGTACAAATGTTTTCTGATTTCCCAATACTAATCAAATTACTAAACAAATCAAAGGGTATATTTTTCAGTTACTCTTTGGTTATTATAGTCTCTCTTTGTTTCAATGAAAGAAGTGTCAACAATGTTGGCATTCCAACTTTTCTGAATGTGAGTAAATCCAAGAAATAAATATTCTATAATATTTACTATGGAACAACCAAAGCAGTTGTTCAAAGACCCTGGTCTAATCTGTGCAATATAAAGGTATTTCGTGGCTCTTGTCAACAGACACCACTTATGGAACCACCAACCCAAACTACTGACTGGAACACAAACGTTTCCAAGGACTTGACGTAATGACTCTAATAAAAACGTCTGGGGCATGTATAAATGATTGAGCAGGCAAGTTCCAGTATTTAATTTCTATAATGTCTGAGGTTATAAAGTTCATGCAGTTTATGACAGAATGACAAGTCCTGAAAGATTAAAGAACGAAAGTAAAAAAGTCATTATTTTCAGCTTTGTTAGGGCTTGAAGCAGCATTCCTTATCATGCTGAAAAGGGTATAGTCTAGATCAGCAATGTCCAACAGAAATGTCCACAAAAATAGAAAAGTTCAATATCTGCACTGTTCTGTGTCATTACCACTTAATACAAAAGTGGCACTTGATCCCTTGAAATGTGGCCAGTGTGGGTGACTGGGGAACTGAATGTTATATTTTGTTTCATTTTAAATAATTTAATTTACATGGTCATACATAGCAGGTAGATACTGTACTGGACAGGGCATGAATAAACTAAACCTATTAGCTCTGTAGGGTTTTAGCCAGAGTACTTATTCCCAGGTGGCTCAGTGGTAAATAATCTGCCTGCAACATGAGAGATGTAGGTTTGATCCCGGGTTGGGAAGATCCCCAGGAGGAGGAAATGGCAACCCACTCCAGTATTCTTGACTGGAAAATTCCATGAACAGAGGAGGCTGGTGGGCTGCAGTCCATGGGGTCGCAAAGAGTTGGAGACACTGAGCATGCACATGCTCACCACCTGCACACACTTATTCTATACCCATCTAAACAGCAGGAGGCTGATGACAGTGTTCTCTAAGGACAGATCCATGAACAGTCAATGTGATCATTCACACACTTTGCAAATGACCACAAATGAAAAACTAGTAGCCAGTATTTAGAAACTAGATCATGATTTAAACTATATAGATGATTTGTCTGTATGATTTAAAAAATAATGGCATGTTGGGACTAGAGTACCATAGTATACACATGTACAAAGAGAAGCCAAGTGCCTATATCTGAAAGACTTATTTTGATAAATGAATTAGTAAACATCCCTGGAGATGTGATAGATAAAGGTTGATCAGGTATGTAGTAAAACCTCAACAATATGGTTTCAAAAACAAGATGTGATGGAGAACTAGAGCAAGAATATATTCAAGACATAGGAGGAACCTACCATTACATAACCTGGCCAGCACAAGTCTGATACTTACAGCAAAAGAAAATAGGCATGAAAAGAGAACATTGCCAAGATCAGGTACAGAAAAAGTTAAAAAATGTGAATATAACCAGGAGAGGTATAATGATCCAAAATTCTATCATAAAGAACTTCAGTTCAGTTACTCAGTCATGTCTGACTCTTTGAGACCACATGGACTGCAGCACGCCAGGCTTCCCTGTCCATCACCAACTAACAGAGCTTGCTCAAAGTTATGTCCATTGAGTTGGTGATGCCATCCAACCATCTCATCTTTTGCTGTCCCCTTCTCCTCCCGCCTTCAATCTTTCCCAGCATCAGGGTCTTTTCTAAGGAATCAGCTCTTCACATCCGGTGGCCAAAGTATTGGAGTTTCAGCTTCAGCATCAGTCCTTCCAATGAATATTCAGGACTGATTTCCTTTGGGATGGACTGGTTGGACGTCCTTGCAAAGGGACTCTCAAGAGTCTTCTCCAACACCACAGTTCAAAAGCATCAATTCTTCAGCACTCAGTTTTCTTTATAGTCCAACTCTCACATCCATACATCACTACTGGAAAAACCATGTTTGGCAAAGTGACATAGCTGCTTTCTAATACACTGTCTAGGTTTGTCATGCCTTTCCTTCCAAGGAGCAACCGTCTTTTAATTTCATGGCTGCAGTCACCATCTGCACTGATTTCAGAGCCCATAAAAATAAAGTCTCTCACTGTTTCCACTGTTTCCCCATCTATTTGCCATGAAGTGATGGGACCAGATGCCATCATCATAGTTTTCTGAATGTTGATATTGAAGTCAGCTTTTTCACTCTCTTCTTTCACCTTCATCAAGAGTCTTTAGTTCCTCTTCACTTTCTGCCATAAGTGTGGTGTCATCTGCATATCTGAGGTTATTAATATTTCTCCCAGTAATCTTGATTCCAGCTTGTGTGTCATCCAGCATGCCATTTCCCATGATGTACTCTGCATATAAGTTAAATAAGCAGGGTGACAATAAACAGCCTTGATGTACTTCTTTCCCAATTTGGAACCAGTCTGTTGTTCCATGGCCATTACTAATTGTTTCTTCTTGACCTGCATACAGATTTCTCAGGAGGCAGGTAAGGTGGTCTGGTGGTCCATCATGAAGAACTTCAATGAGCTTCAAAGTAGATACTCTTAAATATTTCACTGTGAAATATCTGTAGACTTTTAAATATGCCTTAAGTATGCTTTAAATATGCCTTAAATATGAACACTGTGGCTGTTTAGCCTAGTTAATAAGAGCAATCTTTTTCTGTCATAACAGATGTTCCTACCTTCCCTCATGTCCCCATCCAATCCATTTTCCATATACCACAGTGATCTTTTTTCAAACATAAAAAAATTATATCATACACTGAATGAAGGGGTTCAAAGGTTTCCTATTGCACTTAAAACTGAAGTTCTTCAGCTAATGCTTCTGCAGACCTGGTTTTGATTTACTTTTTCAATGTCACTACATGATATGCCACTTACCACTTTCTCCCATTCCTCCAAACATGTTGGCCTTCATCCAGTTCCCATAATTCACCAAACTTTTCCAAGACCTTTGTATTTTCCCCAGTTTCTGCATGTCTGAGTACTTTTTATCTTTCAGGTGTCAACTAAATGTCATTTCTTCAGGAAGACCTTCCCGTCCTCTTTGCCCAGCTTTATTTTAGCCCACTATTTATCTCTTTCTGGAACTCACTACATTCTGTGATTATTTCCATCAAAATTTATTTACCATCTGTCTTTTCCCTCAGAAAGTGCTTCATAAGATCAAGGAGCCGTCTGTCCTCTTTCCCATTGCATGCTTAGCTTAGTGTCTATAACAATATCCAAGAGACAGTAGGCATTCAGTAAATCTATCCTTAATAAACAAAGGAAGGGATGAATAAGAGGGATACTTAAAAAACATAAATGTTTTTTATTTTAAAACATTTAAATACAAAATGGAAATTATATAATTTTAAATAAAATTATTTAAACAGAAAGAAATTATGTACTAACCACATAGAAAACATTTTAAAATGCAGATGACATTTTATGTGGGATAAAGAATCAGAACCAATTCA